TTTTATTGTAGAGATGAGGTCTTACCAAGTTGCCCGGGTTGGTCTAGAACCCCTGAGCTCTCACCTTGGCCTCCCAAAATGCTGGGATCACAGGCTTGAGCCACCATAGCCGGCCCCTGTCTCTTTTAATAAAAAATGGGCCTTTCTGTGCTACCCAGAGAGGGGTCCATACGGCGTTGTTCTGAATTCCCGTCATAACTTGAAAGGGAACTTTCACAGTGTCCGGAACGCTTGACGTCCTGCAAATGAAGGAGGAAGATATCCTCGAATTTCTCGCAGCAGAAACCCACTTAGATGGCACCAACCTTGACTTCCAAATGGAACAGTACATCTATAAAAGGAAAAGTGATGACATCTACATTATAAATCAGAAGAGGACCTGGGAGAGGCTTCTGCTTGCAGCTCGTGCCATTGTTGTCATTGAAAATCCTGCTGATGTCAATGTCATATCTTCCAGGAATACTGGCCAGCGGGCTGTGCTGAAGTTTGCTGCTGCTACTGGAGTCACTCTTATTGCTGGCTGCTTCACTCCTGGAACCTTCACCAGCCAGATCCAGGCAGCCTTCCAGGAGCCCCGTCTGTTGGTGGTTACTGATCCCAGGGCTGCCCACCAGCCTCTCACAGAGGCATCTTATGTTAACCTGCCCACCATTGCTCTGTATAACACAGACTCTCCCCTGCGCTATGTGAACATTGCCATCCCGTGCAACAAGGGAGCAGTGGGTCTGATCACTCAGTGGGTCTGATGTGATGGATGCTGGCTCGGGAAGTTCTGTGCATGTGTGACACCATCTCCTGTGAACATCCGTGGCAGGTTATGCCTGATCTCTACTTCTACAGAGATCCCAAAGAGATTGAAAAGAAGAGCAGGCTGTTGTTGAAAAAGCTGTGACCAAGGAAGAATTTCAGGGTGAATGGATTGCTACTCAGTCTGAGGTTGCAGACTGGTCTGAAGGTGTGCAGGTGACCTCTGTGCCAATTCAGTGGTTTCCTACTGAAGACTGGAGTGCTCAGCCTGCCATGGAAGACTGGTGTGCAGCTCCCACTGCTCAGGCCCTGAATGGGTAGGGACAGTCACTGAGTGGTCTTAAGCTGTTTCCACAGGCTCTTAAGCAACATGGAAATAAGATTGGGAGAAAATAAACATCAGTTTCTTTTCTGATTTTTTTTTTTTGAGTTGGAGTCTCACTCTGTCACCCAGACTGGAGTGCAAAGGCTGCTCCCGGCCACCGCAGCCTCAACCTGCTGGGCTCCGGTGATCCTTCCGCCTCAGC